GTTATAGTTGAAATTATAATTGAAGTGTCTTTCACGTTTTAAAAAAAAATTTCAAAGGTATTTGCATATTATAATTTATAGAACTCCGTCATTCTTCTTTAAGCTACCCCATTTGATAAATCAGCGGCACACCGTGTATATTTACTGTTTACAAATTAAACTAAAATCTGCAGTGACCGATTCGATTTAGTTGTGTACCTACTGTACTTTTCAGTAACTAGGTATTTCGTAATTGTATATTATTATACTTGAGATAAAATAATAATCACTCATATGCCATACGGCGTTAATGTTTAGTAAAATAATAAATTTGTTACTTTTATAAAAATAAAAAAATTACAAAATGAATAGGTTTTTTTACCACAAATATTTATCTCAGAGAGTTTATTATTACCGATACCTTACACCAGTGATTTTAAGTATTTTTTTTTTAAAGAAATTTACGTAAAATATCAATAATTAACTAAAAGTTATGTTTATGAAAAACATTACCGAAAGAACACAAAAAATATCTTATGCTTAGCCACCTTAATTACCAAAAAATTACGAACTTGAATCGTTCTTACAAATTACCAAAATTAAATTAGAAACTGCATAATATGTTGAGGTTTTTTTTAGGAAATAAATAACAATATAATTAAAATATATATATGACACTAGGTGTATGTTAACATGTATTCCGTTTTAAAGTTTTGACTTTTTAATGTAACTTATTAATAAATTATAATTTTAAAAGTTTTTTTTTCCTTTCACCCTAGTATTAATTATTATTTATGCCTAACACGATCTATGCCTGTCTCCTTTTATAATAATTTTTAAAATAATTTATAGTAATTTAATTATAATTATATTTTTATTATTATTTCGTTTTTAAATAAATAAAAAAACTTATCGTAATGAGTGAACGGCGAATTTATTTCCACTTGTAGGTGTCAAACCGCTGTCACACATAATAATGGTATTGCTACACTTAGGTAAGTATACCACACGTAGATATATATATAGGTTAGGTACCTATCTAGGAAATTTAATAGCGTAGTACCAGGTCAAATATAATTCACGGACGATATTATTATAAATGTTAAATGTATGCCACTGTCGCAGAAAATGTTTTGGCATCACAGTCGGTTTCCCCCGATACCCATGTCTATACTTTGTTAGAAACATTTTTTTAGATTCCCAACAGATTGTCAAAACAGTTTAAAACAATCGACAACAAATGACGACGCATTGGTTTTCTTTTGTCGACTGTACACGGGAAGAAAACACGACCGATACCTAACCAGATTACAGCTGAGCACCGTTCGAAATCATTTTTTAATTGCAATGATTTTACCATTGCTTTCGGTATATGCATTCAATATGTTATGCATGTTTTTATATTATTAAGTAACCAATATTAGTATAATTAAATGATTTATATGATCCGTAATTATTTATCATTAGTCTCATTTAAATAAATAAAATGTGTCGAGATCAATTTTAAATTCTTGGCACGATGAAGAATCTGGTTAATTTTTTTTTTCCAGAAAATACTTTTACGATTGGTCAAAATATTCTGCAATTTGGCCATGTCAAACACTCATGAAAAGATTCGGATTTTCCATCGATGGTTCTGTAATTGAAAATCGTTTCAAAATATTTTGGTCAAGGATATGTTTCAGTTTGTTCGCGCAGTATTTCAATAAATGCGGAATTTCTGCACGAAAGTACTTTAATTGAAACACTTATTGACATTTCCAGCAGTTCACATCCTATGCCTTTTTTTTTTTTTTATTATCAGATTTTTGTTTGATTCCCGGCCGGTTACGTTGGCAACACGACAACAATACCACAATAACTGTTACTAGAATCGTTTTTTCATTTACAGTGATTTATTGTTGCATACGGTCTGTATAGACTAAATCATTATAATATGTATATCCTAAAAGTGACCAACTATACGCACCCGCAACAGTAGCCCACCCGTGAATACTATACAAATATACAACGTTTGCGTTTAGTATGTTATTTTATAATACGTAGAATCGTATCATTATAATATTAATAAATAATCGATATGACGAAAAACTATTATGCAGCGATATTTTCACATAAAAAAACTATTAGATTTTTTTCTTTTCTACTATCTATGAATAACTGGCATGTTCATATTATTAGGCGTCGTCGCACGAACACATCTATAATTGATATTAATTTTACAATTATTATTATTATCGTTATTAAGTAGGTATTCATTGACGGCAGTCATAATTGGTACACGCGTTATTACTGCGGCTGATAATAATATTAATAATACCATACGGGTTATTAGGATTAAACTAGCCCGACCAAATATTGTTTTATAGTTAAGTTTAAATTAAATACAATTATAACCGGTCCATAAAAAGCGCATAGAGGAAAGACTATACCGCATAATATTATTACGTACCTACTGTACTCATATAGACGACCTAAGAGTCATTAAACTCAGCACATAGTTCAAAAATGTTCAACGCCTATAAAAATACATAGAAATATGTGGTGGTTTTCGACTGGACTGATGAAAAGAGTTAATAAAATGCCATGATTTTTACGTAATAAAATGCCATGATTTTTACGATTTCCATTAAAATTTTAACTTAAACGTTTACAAAAATTTTAACTT